CCTAGAATTTATACATCAAAGTATAAAATTTCTTCAAGTTAGATTATTGACCAGTAACAAATGTTGGACATTGGATAATTCACAATGGCGACACATTAAACTCCTTGAATTATTACGATGACATATTAATAAGAAATTATTATTCAGTTTTAGCACCAAACTCTTGTAGTCAAGTAATTGATAAAAAATGAAATTAAAACAAAGGGAAAAACAATCTGGTATCTTAAAAATAAAACGGGTGGTAATGATTGTAATTTCTAATTTATTTAGTAACACCATTTATTAAAATAGTATTCATTAACTAGATTACAGTAATAATAATTATTTGGGTGCTAGAACCTTCGCACATTCCACACTCATTCGGTGGATTGGAGTTTTGTCAACTAGAGACAAACAAGCTATTGTTTCTAAATCAAGTAATTAAAAGCACTAGGGAATGGGATCCACTCAACCAGGGTAACCAAGCATATTGGGAGCAAATAGTGATAAGAGATAGCAAAAACTATATGTAAGACCAACCTCATGCAATTAAGAATACAATTCACACTCCTAAACTTAGATCCCTCATTAGTTTAGCAATAGAAGATAAATAATCAAATTGCAATAAGTAATGATAAACTTAATCCACATTCCCATGTCAAATCAAGAATATCACGCCATCAAGCCCAAAATCAAGGGTAGCTACTCCTATCAAAATGAACTAACAAGCAATCTCATATAATCAATTTAATCACAAATCAATCATCAATACTTCTCCCAAATTCACTTAATTAACCATTAAGTTGAGTTTCACCCAACCCCTATCAAAGAGGACTACTCACAACTCATTGTGAGTGACATGCAAAGTACCAAGTTAGGGATTCTAAATAGTTCGATAATTGGGGAAAAGTGATTCACTAAAGGTAAACAAACATGCAACAACAAATTAATAAGATCTAGAGAGATTCAAAAGGCTTGCAATAACAAAATAAAATTAGAAAATAAGCTAGAGAAAAATGAAGAAATTACTAAGATGAAGCTTCAATGTTGAATACAATTGCTGAAAATTTGAGAATAATCCTTGAAATTTGCTTCTACAATGATTGATTTGAGAGTTTATAAACTAAATCATCAACAAATTTAATGAACTAAGTTGCTAACTAAGAGGAGAGTTGTTGAAATTTATTCTAAGACTGATGTCCTCAAAAAGAACTAAAGGGGTAGTATTTATACTCCCCAAATTACATAGGTTACTCAATCAAAAGAAAATCGGGTTCCCAGCTACGAGCGCCTGCTCCAAAGCCAGGAGCGACCGCTCCAGTGAAAATGCACGCCTGCTCCTTTGTCTTCAAATAGTGGCAGAATCAGCTCAATAGGGGAGGAGCGCCCGCTCCAATGGTGGTGCACGCCCACTCATCCTGCTTCAGACTCTAGGCAGAATGTAGCAGAGCAACTACGAGCGCCCGTTCCTTTGTGAGTGCACGTCCGCTCCTGCTAAGCTCAAAGTTGGGCATAATGTTGAAATCTTGTAGGAGCGCCCACTCCTGGAGAGGTGCACATCCGCTCCTCCAGGAGCGGCCTCTCCATTCATTGTTTGCTGCCTCTAGGGTTCTTCTATAAACTTTGTTTATAATACCTTTAACTAATGGCAGTGTATACTATAAAATATATAAAGTATGAAAGATGTAAACATGGTAAATATCCCGCGAATTTAATTATTGATGCAACAATGTAAGTTCTAAGACATGTTTGTAGTAGTAATAATAATAATAAGGAGCATAATTTCACTTTTTAGAAAATAACAATTGATCGAGAGATGCTATTTGCCCTTATAATAATTAATTATCTAATATAAATATTACGGAGCATAATTTTACTTTTTAATAAAACATGTTATCGAGATGTAGTTGTTAAATATCTCAATATTAAGAAGCATAATTTTGCTTTTTAAAAACAACAATTGATCGAGAGTTTCTATTATATTACAATATTAATAATTGGTGTACCTTATAATAATTAGTTATCGAATAGTAATATTAAGCAATGAAAACATAACTAATAATGCTAATGAAGATGTAAAAATAAATAAAATAAAAATATTAAACAAAGTGTAGTTAGAAATGTCCTTACAATAAGTAAACAAAGTTTCGAAAATTTTAAGTTTAATAATTAATATGTTTTAAAAATTTTACTTATTTTGCATTTTTTAATCTTTTTGACAAAATGACATATTTATTAGTAATCAATAACTATTATTTGCATTCCAAATTTATTTTATTTTAACCCTCCACCAATTTATTTTGACCCTTCACTGTTTTATTTTGTATATGATTAGTTTTGCGTAATCTCACTTTTTGTTAAAACAATTGATCGAGTGTTATTATTTGTATATTACAATACTAATAATTGTTATGCCTTTTAATAATCAATTATTATCTAATATTGATATTGAGGAGCATAATTTCACTTTTTGGTAAAACAATTGATTGAGATTTAGTAGTTGTATTATTATTAAGAGCATCATTTCATTTTTAATAATAAAAATTGATCGAGAGTTAGTATGTGTACACTACAATTTTAATAATTTGTGTTCCTTGGAATATTCGATTATATATTATTAAGAAATAAGATCATATTAGTATTGCAAACAATAATGGATGAATGGTTTATTGAATATAGTTACTAATCTCCTTACACGATGAGAAAAAGGATAATAAAACAAAGATTAGTTATAGATCTTCTTAGCTTACATAAGAAAAAAAAATAGTTTTATTATAAATATGTAATTTGAAACTTTTGTTTCACATAACGCTATTTTTATTAGTAACCGATAACTACTACTTTTAATTTGTATTCCAAATGTTATTTATTTTAACCCCCAACTATTTGATTTTAACCCTTCACTATTTTATTTAATCCTTCCAATTTAAGTTTTTGTCATTTGTATTGGGTGGTTGAAGCGAAAATTGAGTATCTCATAAGTTACTCCTTACTTTGTAAATATTTATTTTAGCATAATATCAATTTTTGTAAAATAATTGATCGGGATTTAGTATTTATATATTACAAGACTAATAACCGTAGTATCTTATAATTAATAATTATCTAAAGGTAATACTAAGAAGCATAATTTCACTTTTAAAAAATAACAATTGATCATGATCGAGTTACTATTATAAATCCTCCGTTTAAAAATAATTTTCTCACGTGTAATATTTTGTGTAAATAAAGGTAAGGGAAGAATATTTAAATAAAGTACATTTGAAATACAATGGAACCATTCCTTTTTGAATAAAGTACATTGCAACTACTTATTATTATGGAATAAAGTACATTTAGACCATTATTTGTATTTGGATCATTGAAATGAGGTTTTTTTATGGGAAATTAATGAGGATAAGTGAGGAATTAAAATAAAAAGTGGGAAGATAATTTTGAAACACAAAAAATAAAAAGTTAGAAGATCATTTTGAAAAAAAAGGGAGTATATTACAAGGTTAATTAATTGCCGTGCCTTATAATAATAAATTATATAATATTAATATTAAAGAGTGAGACTATACTAGTAATGCTAACGAAGATGTAGAAAAAATAATTTTTTTTTTAATAAAACGAAGAATAGTTAGAAATCTACAACAAGAAATACACAAAGATTCGAAAATTTTTAGTTTTATTATTAATATATTTTAAAACTTTTATATAATTTGCATTTTTATGTATTTTTTGTCAAAATGATATATATTAGTAATTGATAACTATTTTATGTATTTCAAATGATATTTTTTTTAACCTTCCATTATTTGATTTAACCTTTCACTACTTCATTTTAGCCCTTCACTCATCAAGTCTTGTTATTAATATTGGATGTTTGAAGCAAAAATTGAGCATTTGAAGAGTTATTCTTACTTTGTAAATATTTATTTTCGCATAATCTTAATATTGGTAAAATAATTGATCGAGAATTAGTAGTTGTATGTTACATGATTAATAATTGTAGTGCCTTATAATAAACAATTAACTAATATTAATATTAAGGAGCATAATTTCACTTTTAAAGTCCATCAAACGTTTGAAGTCCATTATATGATAATTAAATTTGAAAATTAAAACAGTAAATTAAAAAAATCAAGTATTTGAGTAACAAAACAGATTCAAATGGCTGTAGGTTTGCAATTTATTTAGTAACAATATTTATTGCAATAGTATTCTCAACCTCTATAATAGTTTACATAATAACAACGGTGTATACTATAATTATTAAAACTATCGATTTGTTAACATGGTGAATTTCTCATAAACTTAGTTACCTAATGCAGAAATAAAAACTTGTCTATTGCTATTATATTTAAAGACTACACGAATAACAAAAAAAGTTAAAACAATTGTAGGTTTGAAATTAATTTAGTAACAGTATGTATTTAAATAGTATTCAGAACCTATATTATTTGCATATAACAACGGTTGATGGGATTAGTATGCATTAAAGCCTTTTTTCTTTTTCTTTTTTTTTTATTTTTTATTTTCTAATTGCAAAGAGGTTGGTGGGATTAGTATGCATTAAATGCATCTCTGGAGCCTTAGTAAAAACTCCCATTGGCTGACAACTTCTCGGGGATTGTGTTAGCAAGAACACAATTCTCAAAAAAAGGAAAGCAATCACTAGGAACTCCGATGGTTAGAAAAAGTGACACATATTAAATATAAATATTAGTTAAGCTAGTAGTCACACCAGTGTTGTATATGAATTAGCTTTGGCAAGCAAATTTACTTTGTAAACTAATTATTATGGTAATTATTTATTAAATATAAATTAATAAATTGACAACTAACTTAACTATGGGAACAAATAGTAGCTGGAATTATTGTACCTTGAGAAAATGATAGTCACCACAAGGTATTAAAGATGAGTTAGCCAACCATTAGAGTTTTAGAAAGATGATCACCGGTGCTATTACCTTCACTAGCCCTTTCATTTTAATTAATTATCGTATCTCATCTGTCAAAAAAACTTTTTACAAAAATTTAGCCTTGACCACATAATTTTGTATAAATTTCCAATAACAGGGGTCTTAGATGTAAAGATATTCAAGGTGGTGTACAATCTAGTTCGAACACACAGTGCTCTCTCCATATAAGCAGCAAAAGGAGAACATCACAACCTAAATTTATTAACCACCCCTGATAATCTTATGAATCAATACACTTCAATATAACAAAATAAAAATGCCATAGAAGCACTGGCACAAATCAAGTAACTGCAGACTAGCAGTTCCCAAATTATTTTCCTGCACAAATAGGCTTGCAATAAATATTCCAAGTTGCATGTTTCAGTGTACATACTGCACTGAAACATTTGATAGAAACCCTAAACATCAAGAACTGGAAAATTAGCATCATCACTTAGCATGCTGCTCGAGACGTTTAATCTGTTGGATCTGCTTTGCAGGGTTCAAACCCTTTGGGCAGGCACGAGTACAGTTCATAATAGTATGGCACCTATACAGCTTGAACTCGTCATTAATTGCCTCTAGTCGCTCCTCAGTGTACTCATCACGGCTATCAGCTATCCATCTGCAGACAAGGAAAAAAGTAAGTCAGCACAATTTTCCAGTGCTTACACAAACACAAAAGGTGGAATTAACAAAATAATACTATGTATAAAGGTTGTGCCCATGCTGAACTATTTTTTGCATCACTTCAGCTAATTTTTGTTTCATACTTCATTAAAGATATTCCTATTTGAAAATATTTTACTTTTTTTCAAGTACAAATCGTGATTACAACTATTTCCGTTGATGCTTCTTGTGGAAGAAGTAAATGATACAAAGGCTGAGAATACCTTTTCAATTTTTAAGTTCAGCAATTAATTTTGCATTTAACTCCATTTCCTATATTTCTGGAATCCTATTTGTCAATAATGATGCACCTTTCATATTTTGTTTGGGCATAAACTTCCTTTTTTTGTACAAGCTCACCACAAAAGCAAATGTAGGCAAGACTAAACCATGTTCAATTTTGACAAGTTTTCTCTAATCAACTATAAGCTAAATTTTCGTGTACAAACTCACCACATAGCAAATGCAGGCAAGCTTTTTCAAATAATTACATAAGGAAAAAGAAAGAAAGAAAGAATTCAGAATTGTTCAACATGTAATACTGACATCTTTAAGGGTTGAATTTCAAAGAGCACAGAGCTAGAGTATTGGACTAACTGTCATCTCATATAAATTGCTCCTCAATAACATTTTATGAAGCTTGGAGACAAGGAGTACTCTGGTATAGATTTTGAGAGCCGGACATATTAAATTATCCAGGGTCACAGGATACAGGGACATGTTTAAGAAGTGTCCAAAATTTGAAAATGAAGATATTAAGGGCAAAGGAAAGGTATAGAGAAAAGTTGGCAAGTAAACGCTACTTACACCTGTAACCAACAAACCTCCAACCCTCCCCCCCACCCCCCACCCCCACCCCCTACTATGATAAAATGCCGCACTTATTCTTTCATGTTTAAGAAAACACGATAGAGGACCATAGGCTAAGAGCTACAACTTCACCAACCACATCTCTCATCATTTACAAATGGCCAACCACTTATTGCTGATAAGGGTGCGAAGAAGTGGGTTCACCTTTCTCCAAAATCATTAATGTTTAGTTCAATTTACATGCAACTTGATGGTTCAATTTCATGATCTAGAGTTTTTAAAGTACATCCTAGATTAACAAAGTTGGACTTCATTTTTTTTTTTTTTTGGGCAATATCAATTTCCATGCAATAAGTTACCAAGTCCTTTTACTCAACCACATCCAATCTGTACTCCATGCCCCACCCACAACTGGTCAATTCCAGGAGTGTGGCTAGATTGTATAGATGTGAGTCCAAACATCACATATGATACAACACAAATTCAATCAATACAGATAGATTAAAAAAAATACACATTAAATACTAGCAAAATAAACACGAAGATTAGTAAAACCATAAAAAGGAAGCATAAAACATGCCATACAAAAAGTGAAGATGCAGAAGAAACATAAAAAAAGATCTAGCAAGGGCTATGCCATCGCAAAGATGCTCATGGAATCCTAGACCTTCAAAGTATCAATATATACAATCTTAGGTGTAAAGCTCACCACTTGAAGGCATATTAGTTGGTCTACTGTAAACTTATAAGCACAAAAATGACAGCCTAAAATCTAAGTTTTCTACCAAAAAAAAAAACGTATTCCATATCCTCAACAGGATTGCCAATGAGAGGTGCAAGGTATATATTTTGGATTTAACTGTTTGCCTTCTAGCTAATCATATCTGATCCTTTAAATATGAAGCAGATTCTGCGAAGCTTGCAATAGCTCCATATTTCCAATATCTCATTTTTTTTCATTTCAATTTCAATCTTTGATCTCATCAAATTGAGGAATAGGGTCAATGGCTTATTACCTCTTACTGCGTACAGAATTCTCGAATATGCAAAACCTCAATCTGTTTGCAGTTATGGTTTGTGTGTGTGTGTGTTCTGTTTTATCATTATCATTTTTTTTTAATAACTTTGCTTATTCCATATGTACTTGACACTGTTGCCACTATCTTTACATTTAAATTAGTTTCAAACATTAGGACTCTAAAATTTTGCAATGTCTGTGTTATTACTGAATTCTTTGTCTCTTAGATGCCCTATTCGCCCAATGGATGTCGCCCAATAAATGTCCCATACCTTGTTTCATGAAAACTCTCTCTCTCTCTCTCTCTCTCTCTCTCTCTCTCTCTCTCTCTCTCTCTCTCTCTCTCTCCCTCCCTCTCTCTCTCCCTCCCTCCCTCCCTCCCTCCCTCCCTCCCCCTCTCTCCCTCCCTCCCTCTCTCTCTCTCTCTCTCTCTCTCTCTCTCTCTCTCTCTCTCTCTCTCTCTCTCTCTCTCTCTCTCTCTCTCTCTCTCTCTAGTCATTCTTCTTCTTCTTCTAATCATATGTGTATAATTCCCATAAAGCTAAATCTGAATCTCAATCATGTGCTCCGACTCAGGCTTACAGTTTTAACATACATTTTGAATGGGTTGTTGACGGTAATTGCTTTTTCTTTCAAAATTTGATAAAGTAATTAGACATTATGCTTAGCTGGTGAGCTGATTTAATCTATTTTGCAATTAATGAACTGGATTTTACAATGAACTGGGTCAACCCACCCATACAAGCTATTCGGGTCTATGAGAGGAGGAAGAAACAACACCAAGGTAGGGGACAAGTTCATCCAGCAGCAGCAAGTAAGGAGACAGGACAAAATGCAAGTAAGGAGACAGGACAAAAACTTTTAATGAACCACTAAGGAGTGCGGTGACTGATCTGATTTTCTGAAGGTTACAACAGCAGTACAAGACAAATGCTATTTAATATTAGGGTACCTTTGTAATGGTGAATGCTTGGTATATAAATCAACAACAATAGAACAGTAGAATGTTATGTGATTTGTGAGATTAGTTTGTAGTATAGAAGTAGCTTTAGCTTCCCTTTGAGAGTTATAGCCTAAGCTATATTCCTTGTAACCATTATCTTCAATTACCAATCAAATATTCAAGCTTTCATCTATTTACATTCTTGCTTTCTTAAATATCAGTTACGGATTTCCTAGTCTATAGCAGATTTTACTTCAACAATGAATTAAAGAACAAACAAAAACAATGATGATTTCTATAAATTATGCATATTTTCCATTATAACTGATATTTTCATTAAAGTGGGACGGATTGAGTAGCTGCATATTGCTTTGACAAGAATCAGCTTCTTATATGTATGCATGTACGTAGTAGTAATGTATTTTTGCAGAGTTATACATGTAGCTCACAGATTGTCCGACTCCTTACCTTTATATTGAAATAGTTGAGAGTTTGAGACTATAACAGTATAACGTCCCCAAGACCTCGACAATTTATATTTATTTTTTAGTGAGACTCAGAGTCCTAATAATTATGTTCAACTTTGAGATGAGTGTTTGCTTTATTACTGGTGGTTGAATTTGTTCATTATTTTTGAGCTAAAACATCAGTAGCTTATTCAGGCCATGCAACTTTTGCTACCATGAGAAAGATAGATAACATCTGTAACAATTATCAACATGGTTTTAAAAAATTTAGTAATGACCAATTTGAATCAATGTACTACTAAACTCATCAATAAGACCCTAACATCTTCAATCATTTTAGCAATAACATCTAAATCTTCTATCATTTTAGCAATAACATCTAAATTTTCAATCATATTAGCAATAACATCTATCGATAATATTAAAAATTGTGATAACTTCAGCACACACTTCCTTCATCTCCTTAAAAATTGTAACAATTTCATCATCACCTTAGTCATTTTGCCAAACACGCAACTTTGGGCATTAATATATTATAGAAAATTAAATAGAAAATATACAATTTAGACTAACACAACAGCATCTAACAACATAACCTTAGTTTTTATCATCACACCAACAAAACACAGACTCGCTTATGTGAATAGCGTAAAAGTCAAACCGTTAAACATATTAATAAAAACACTCTCGTGTTCTATACTTTGTATATGAATAGCGTAAAAGTCAAAACGTCCCAAAAACAAACACGAAATTGAGTAGAAGGATAGAGAAACTAACCGATGAGCATGAAGCAAAGCAGCAGGACCCAAATAAGATTCAGGATTCCACCAATAACTAGGGCAAGAAGTACTACAACAAGCACAAAGAATACACTCATACATTCCATCTAACTTCTTCCTATCCTCCTTACTTTGAAGATACTCTTTCCCAGGAGTAGTAGCAGGATTCTTCCTCTTCAACCAAGGCTCAATACTCTTATACTGGTTATAGAAATTGGTCATATCAACCACCAAATCCTTAACCACAAACATATGCGGCAACGGCGTAATCATCGAAGCAGCCGAAGCCGACGAATCGATCTTCGTAAGACAAGCGAGGCCATTACAACCATCGATATTCATAGCGCAGGAGCCACAAATTCCTTCGCGGCAAGATCGGCGGAAGGTGAGAGAAGGATCGATTTCGTTCTTGATCTTGATGAGAGCGTCGAGGACCATGGGGCCGCACTCCTTGAGGTTGATCTCGTAGTTTTTGAGCTCAGGTTTGGAAGGATTGTCGGGGTTCCAGCGGTAGATTTGGAAGGTTTTCATCGATTTTGGTGGCGGCGATGATGCGGTGGAGGCGGAGGCGTCGGAGGCGTGGAGGCGGGAGAGGAGTAGACGGCTGAGCGGCGAGGTTGTAGCGGTGGTGGTGGTGCGGCGGAGGAGACCCGAAGCCATTGTTGTGGTCGGAGGAAGAGGAGAGAGAAAATGGGGGGAAATCAGGAGAAATGGGAATTGCGAGAAAAGAGGAAAGAGATAGTTTGTTGGGCAAATAAAAGAAGGAATGATGAAATTACAAGTGAGTATTAAAATTGGGTTTGGCTGCGTTAGAGACGGTGGCGTGGCTAATTTTTTAGCCGTGAGTAAAATAGAAGGGTGTCGTGGTTTGCCTCTAGAGCGCTAAACACACCGCCTTTTAATATTTCTTTCCTTCTCTTTTGAAAAAAAAAAAAAAAATTTCTTTCCTTCTTTTTGGTTATTAAGGCACCTAATGTACGCAACGCGCTGATGAGAGTAATTATGTAAATAAATGTTTTTAAGGGTATAAATGTTTGTATATTAAGGCCCCTGTTCACTTTACTTTAAAAATAATATTAAGTAAAAAATAATTTTAATTTAGTAAAAATAAGTTCAATTCAGTAAAAAAAAGTTCAGTTTTGTAAAATTCAGTAATTATAAAGAAATATAATAGAAAATCAGTAAAAAAAATTTCAGTTCAACAAAAAAAATTTCAGTTTAGTAAAAATAATTTAAGTTCAGCAAAAATAATTTCAGTTTAGTAAAAATAATTTCAGTTCAGCAAAAATAAGGTGAAGTGAACGGAGCCTAATTCTTAAGAGTTTAAAAAAAGATGCAAATAATATTAATGAGGGCAAATAAATAAATTAACATTTTAAAGGATAAATTTGTCCAGACTCTATTTATAAGAGTTATCTCATACTTTTTAAAAGATAGGGATAAGTGCTATTTACAGTTTAAATTTACCATCTTTTGCTTAATTAAATGCCTACTCCCTCAAAATTATACTCCCCCCATCCTTAAATATATTTTTCGTTTTTCATTTTTGGTGGTCCTCAATAATCTTCCTTTTTTTTCTTTCTATTATTAGTCCTTCAAAATTACTTATTTACCCTCATTTTTTGTCTTTATTAGGTGAAGTACCAAAATTACTCTATAATTTTTCTTATTCTTTGTGCATCATTTATTTATGCATATCAACTAGTGTGTGGCCCGGGCGATGCATCGCGTTTTACTTTTGAATATCAATAAATATTATTTGAGCTATAAAATCATAAACTATATAATTACAAAAAATAATTGAACAATAGTAACTATTGAAACCAAATGAACGCTCTCAAATTGATGCTTTGTACAAATTAAAGTATTTAGTGTATTATAATTAAATATGAAGCATGATTAAAAGATAGCAAAGTTAATAAGAACATAAATTCATTTGTTATTAGTTGGATGTGGCATACTTCTAATACATGTGAAAGGTGTTATGTGTCACATATCTTGTATTAGAAACACTTTTTAATAGATAAGTATAGATTTGACTTTCTCTTACTTTTAATAATTACTAGGGATTCTTACGCGCGCGGCATAGTAGCCCTTTGAGGAGAATTCTTACTGGGGGCCTTTATGCCTTATGCATATTTGCATGATATTTTATTATATCTATTTGCATAAAAGTGATAAAAGTGTTGGATGTTGTGTAGCTGTGCAATGTACGAAAATTTAGTAGATCTACTTTGATTTAGCAAGGGAACGGTAAAAAAAAAAATCGAGTTCTATATATATAAATGTCTAATAAATTTTTAAGTACTTATTGAGACGAATTGAATAAATTAAACAAGTTATCACACAATTATATACTCCGTAATTTTTAAGTACTTATTGAAACAAGTTGAATAATTTAAACAAGTCACCATACAATTATATACTCCGTAATTTTTGTACTGTACTCCATATATATTTAAAATTAATTTGAAATACTTTGTATCAAATAGTGTTTATATTCCAAATAGAAAAAAAAATGGAGAGACTAAAAGATGCTTTAAACATTGAAATAAACACAAATAATATATCAATTTAGGGGATTCAACAGACATTTTAAAAACTTTTGAATTCAATGGGGGCAAATAAGTAAAAGAATATCTTTAGGGATATAAATGTCCATTCACTATTCATAAGAGATTTCTTAAACTTTTTATAAGATAAGATAGGGATATCAATTTGGTTTTCTCATGTACTTTTAGTAAGTCTTCCTTTCATTTCTTAATTCCCTGTTCTTTTTCAAACGGAAACTATATTTAATGACAAAGGGAGTATGAGTGCTAAGGCCATGTTTGGTTTTTTTATTTTTATTTGATTTGATCTGAGATAACTTATTCTGATCTTATCTAATTGTCTGATTTGATTAAACTTTCACCTTAATGCATGCAAAATTATAAGGAAAAAGAGGTCTTATTAGATTCATAATAATATGTATTTTATTAATATGTAATTATTATAATTTTTTTCATTACGAAATTAAAGATATTTAGCGATAAATAACCGCACATTAAACGATGAAGTACGATTAAAACTTATTAATCTAAATTGAACTTATTTTTTCTGATCTAATCTGAAATAAGTAAAATTAAGGTGAATTAAATATAGCCTAAGCCCCTGTTCTTTTAGACTGAATTAACCTGAAATGACTTAAACTAAAATGACTTAAACTAAAATTAAAGTAAGCTCAACTAATATGAATTAAACTAAAATGACTTAAATTAAAATTAAATAAAATTATTGTTATTGCCATCACATTAAAGTTTAATTGACATTAAATGGTTATATTCTTATGTCTTACCTTAAAACTCAGTCAGGTTAACCTTTGAGAGGTTCTAATCTAGTAGGACAATTCATCTTATCTACACAAATGGTTTAAATCTCGTACTTACTAAAGTAATGATTTTTTTTTATCAATCAAAATATATCATAACATGGATCTTATTTTGAAGTACTTTTTGAAAAAATTTATTTTCTGCAACTCTAGAATTTTATCTAAAAATAAAACTTTACTATCGAAATCTTGCAAACATGACATTATAGTTGTCATGATTATTATTGATTTATACATTTATATCACATGTGGCAAATTATTACTTGGCGAAAAATTGGACTGCAAGTGTGATTGTTTAATTTTATTGTAGTCTTGTGAAAAATGACAGCTATAAGCGATTAATGATGGAGCATTATGATTGGTCAATTTTTTCCACAATTTTCATTTCTTTTCTTCTATACAAAATACTTAAAATCATTTTTCTTAAATTATGTGGATCATTTCCAAATTATTTTATCAAATTTGTTAATAATTTCATAAATGTAATTTTAAATTTGTAATAGAAAATAATTTTAAAATATTTTGTATATCAAATTAAAAGGGAAATGAAAATGATATCATCGAAAATTTAACCAATCATAATGTTCCATCATGAATACAACTATGGCGGTCTTTTTTTAAATGACCACTATTGAATCATACTGTAGATGATACAAGTATTGGATTTGATTAGATTTGAAAACTAAAAATCGAGACAAATCTAACAAAATCTTATTATGTTTTGAAGTAATATATATATATATATATATATATATATATATATATATATATATCCCTTACATACTACTAGAGCTGATCAAAGTCAATCCGGCCTGCCAGTATGGTTGTTTCAACCCGAATTTGGGCAGTTTTAGGAAGATTTTTTTAGCCCGAATTTTTTTATTTTTTTGACGGGCTTGGGCATGCGCTTTTATGCTTTTTTTTGCCAGGCCTGAAAAGCCTACATGGCTTGGCCATTTTCGACGGGTTTGGGCATGCGATTTTCGGCCCGAAGCTTTGGCCCGACTCGAGAAATATGCTGATTTTTTTTAGCCGAACCCGCCCCTACTTTGATCTGGTCTATGTACTGCAAGTAGATTCCATAAGCATTAAACTCCCAAAAATTCAAATACGACAATCAATTAAACAAAAGGAGGGAGTATAACAGTATAGTACTACCTCCATTTCATAATTATCGAATCGCAAAAGTTTGAATTTTGTATTATTCATATACTTATTTTGACTATATTTTTTTTAAGAATTTTTTGACTATATTTTTACCCAATATATAAAAAAAACATATTTTGTCATGTAATTTATTTTTTGAATTAGCCTTTATGTATATTTTCATTATACCAACCTTTTATACTTATCACTTATATATAACCAATCAATAATAACTTAATACTAAACAGATACCATGAATGACACGTGTTACTTTCTGGTGCTATTTTTCCCCCCAAAACCATTTTTTTTTCACTTTTTCGTTTACTTTATCTAATCTCTTATGAATATTTAATATACTATAATATTATTTCCTTCCCATTTATCTATCATAAATCTACCATAAATATTCAACTAAAGTATAATTTCAAATAATTTTATAAGTATATTTCATATAAGATATTTAGAAACATCAAAAAATTTATATTATTTATATTACGGAAAATATTTCAATTATATCGTTAAGAAATTATACTACATAATGTTATCATATTCTTTCAAATTAAATATATCATCAATCTACATATAACGACTACACTAGGTCCAAGGATGACAAGTTTCTTTATTTTATTTTATTTTTTTTCTGTAATTTGTAACCTAAATATCACATAAATAACTCTAGGAATAAATATCAAAAATTCAATTATATATATATATATATATATATATATATATATATATATATATATATATATATATATAGAAATAGGATCATATGAGACTACCCCCCTTATGTGAGAACCCTATTTTATGTGAGGACATATTACCACCATTGGATCAACTACATCCAAGGGTCATAATACAACCCGGTAAAACAAACAAAACAAAACAAATTTATTTCCTACGTTTTTTCTCTCTCCTCCTTCTTCTTTTTCGCTCATTTTTCTCTCTCCTCCTTCATTCTACGATGTTCTACTCTGCTGCTCTCTGATTTTTCATCACAAGTTCTTCAATCTTCATCAATTTTTCGTTAATGTGAGTCTATTGTTTATACATTTGCTGTTTTTCAATTAATTTTAGGTTACATTCATTGTTTTATTTTCGTTTTGATGTTCGCTTAATTTTTTCTGATTTTAGCTCATTAATTTTAACATGCAATGCGTCGATTATGTTTTATTTTGTTATTTTTTGTTGATTTTAGTTTTATTTTTGTTTTCTTGAGTGATTATCCAGTAAATTTTAGTTTTATTTTGCCTGAATTTTGGTTTTACTAAGTGTTCTTGTTTTAGTTTTGTATTTGCGATATTATGTTGTTTTGTTGCGATTTTTGCTTGATTTTCGTTTTGCTTTTCGTTTAATTTTTTCTGATTTTAGCTCATTAATTTTAGGTTACTTTGTGTCGATTATCTTTTAGTTTGTTTTTTTTGTTGATTTTATTTTTTTTTCGTTTTTTTTAGTAATTATCAAGTTATTTTTAGTTTTATTTTCTCTGAATTTAGGTTTTTACAAGTCTTCTTGCTTTGGTTGTGTATTAATTTTAGGTTACTTTGTGTCGATTATCTTTTAGTTTGTTTTTTTTTGTTGATTTTAGTTTTTTTTTCGTTTTTTTGAGTAATTATCAAGTTATTTTTAGTTTTATTTTGAGTCACTAGTGACCATGACTCTGTTGAACTGTGTGTTTGAGTCATTAGTGACCATGACTCTGTTCAACTGTGTGTCTGAGTGTATATTGACTCAAGGCTTGGGGTCCCAAGGGGCAAGGTAGTCAAGGTACTCAAGGCTGCTGATGGTGATATTGTTTGTGCTATTATGGAATTGACCACCTGATAAGTTTGCGTTCTCTTCTTTTGTGTTTTTTGGTGCTTAGTTAGTCATTAGTGATGGTTGCTGGATAACTCTGGGTCTCTGACGAGCTATATACTTTGTCGTAACTCTGGTAGTAACTTTAGTCCTGGCATTCTTTCCTTACCATGAATTCTTACTACAATCTTCTTAATTTCTCAATGATTAATGTTGCTCTATTCCATGCTTTGTGTACTTGGGTCAATCTTTATGGGTGTCTTCTTTCGTCTGTATATTCCTGTACCTTGCTCTTTGCAGGTTTTTAAACTGGTTCTTTCTGTACCTTGAACGTTTAATGTAATGACTTTGCCTAGAACTAAATTTGGGGTGGTTTGTTTTATGTAAATAGTGGGAGCGTTGAATGTGTTATATTATCTAACCAGTAAAGTCGATGGTTCCGAGTCTTTTGTAAGGTCCTCCATGATGTGTAATTGCACCTTTATGTCATGTAGTCTACCTAACCTGCTGAATTTTGTTTAATCTCCTGACCTTACTGAGCTTTTCTGCTTGAAATATTACATCTCTGTAACACATGTAGCTGTTTATATTTTTATTGCAATCTAGAGCGCTCTATCACTATTCACTAGTTGTTACACTACCTTTCCATCATATTCCTTTCGGGAAAGGACTTCTGGGGCGATATAGGCCGGTGTTCCTACCGTCGATTTTGGTTGAGAATGTAGCACTGCAGACTATTATAATTAACAAAGATTAGTCATGATTAGTAATTGATTATAAACAAAATGATAGATTCAGAGGAGTTTCCCTGCCTTAGAGTAGCCAAAGTCGCAGATTTTGAGACGCGATTCTGAACTACCATCTAAGAGAGTGTTTTCCAACTTAAGATCTCTAGGACAAATTTGCTGCATTCAGGGAAAAAAAAGCATTATTAGCCTTGTTTATGTGTATAAAAAGCTTAATTCATTTGAAATTAAGCTTTAATAACAGAACAAAAATCTAATATCAGAGAATAAATATAATGAAATGTACTCCATAATTACTCATTCTCTCCTGTTTGTTTTGTCATTTATGGTCTTGCATTAAATGGAATTTACTCATTTAAGTTTACTGATTTTGTTTCGGATGACAAGCGGTTGTAGGGTATTACCACTACACTTGAGGATAGATTTGGGGTTGGAATGAGGTGGGAGGAATGTAAGATGGGTATGAAGCATGTGAGAGTAGGTTTACTGACTAAATGTAGTTTCTAGGCTGGTTAAAGCAAAAATTTTGCTTGTCACTTAAAGAGCATCTATGTTTGATTGCTCATTTGACAAATGAGCATCTATGTTTTTGCTCATTTGTATAAAATTACCAACTAATTATTTACTTTTTTTTTAATTGTTTTGTATGAGCAGGGAGTCTATTGAAAAGGAGCCTGCTGCCGATGTTGGTTCATCAGGTGCTACTGCCGATGTTGTTTCAGCAAGGCCTGCTTCTAATGTTGGTTCAACAGGGCCTGCTGCTGATGTTGGTTCAGCAGGGCCTACTGCTGATGTTGGTTCATCAGTGGTATTAGTTGGTACTAAGGTTAAAGGTAAAAAGGTTGAAAAAGGATTGAAAGAAAAACAAAAGATTAAGCTGGAGGAGATGAAATCCAGCAACGAAGGGGAAGATTTGAAGTCTCATGTTTATGGGACATTACATAGTCGGATGTCCCCTTCATCCATAGTTCAAGTTATTGAAAAATGTTCAGAAAATCAGTTGAAAGCTATTAGAGCAATAGGATTCGGGTCTATGGAGTTCTTGAAGGTGACCCAACTGCCTTTGCAGTTGGGTTTATGGTTGGTTCATCACTTTGATGCTAACACATGCTCTTTAAACATTCCAGATTCTGAACCTTTTTGTATCACTGAAGAGCATGTGCATCAAGTACTTGGGCTGCCAATGGGTGGCATAGAAATTGACAAAAATAATTTTTCCAGAGATAAGAGAGTGATTCAGCAATGGAAGAAGCAATTCAAAAGCAACTCACCCTCTATCAAAATAGGGGAGCCGAAAGAGTTTCTGAAAGAGCATAACTCAGCTGGTCTTATGTTCAAAAGGAACTTTGTAGTGCTATGCGTTTCTACATTGATGGATGGTAAACTTTTTATTTTTATTTTGCTTATTTTTAGTTATAGTTAGCACTTAGCAATTGTGTGCTATATATAACAATTATATTATCTAAGTTGTTGGTCATATATGTATAGAATCAGTTACTTGAAACTATACATCATTAGATAGAGACTGTTGACACTTTCAAAATAAGATATATATATATATATATATATATATATATATATATATATATATATATATATCTTTTGTTCTATGTATTTATCTTTTGGGCTATCTAAGTAGTTTGTATAATTTGATGGATTATTGTTGTTAGTCAATGATAAGATGGGTGAACAAATTTGGAATAGGATTTGGTACATACTTCATATTAACATACTTGTCAAAAAATTTCAAGTTATATTAAAAATTAATTATATCATCAGGAAAAGGTGGAGAGTCAACATCATGGTTTTAAATTTTATAGGAGTTTGCTCATTTTCAACTTTGTTTGCTTATTTATATTATATTTTGTTCATTTAAATTTTCTTTTGCTTATTTTTCTTTTGTTTTGCTCATTTTTTTGTCAGGGAAACAAAATGTGAATATCAATTCTGATATTCTCACATTTCTTTCTGATGCTGATAAAATAAAGGACTTGAATTGGTGCAAGTATATCCTTGATTCACTTGTGAAGGCCAAGCTTTTCTGGGAAGAACGTCAAACTCGTTTTTTTCCTGGGTCTTTACTGTTTCTTATGGTATTACTTTAATTTTTGTTGTTTTTTTAATGTAGTATTTTTTACTTATTTGTTGATTTTTAATTTACTAATTATTTTTTATTACTTGTTTGTAGTTATTTTATGTATTAATTGTTATTTGTTTAATTTTAATGTACTAATTTTTTCTATCTTACTTGTTTGTAGCTTTTATACGTTGATCAGTTTGTCATTGAGGAAGTTAGAGCCAAACGAGAAACTCCAGTTCTCAAAGGTTGGACAACCAATATGTTTTCAAGTCGTGAGAAATTGGAAATTTTTAAGGGGAGGGTTGTAGTTTTTGATAAAAATCAGAAGCTTGTTGGTCCTTCTGGCAGCAAACAACCAAAAATGGTATTTCACTTGTAACCAATACTTAGTTTTTCTATGTCTTTGGCATTGCTTGAAGAATTGAATTGGAACAAATCTTGCTTTTAGGAAAATGATGCAATGTGGTGCTCTTTATAGCACATTAATGGACCTCCTAAATCAGTAAAAAAATATTTGCTCATTTGTCAAATGAGCAATTATTTTTTGCTCATTTGATACTCTGTGTGATTTGGATGAAAATTACACAATTACCTAATTTTTTTTTTTTTTTTTGTTTTTGCTTGATTTTAGGAACTATCTGATCCAATTCATACAAAAAATGAAGAAATTGAACAAGATCCGAAGAAGGTATTTATATGACTTTTCTAGAAACTTATATTAGCTTGCTCATTTTTATATGACTTTGCTCATTTTTTGTTTTTGTTTTTTTTCCAATTTTTTGTTATTTTTTACTTAATTTGTGAATTTGTATTGTTGTTTTGTGAATTTGGGGATTGCCGTGCGATGAAAGAGTAGGGGGTTAAAAGGTTGGGGGTGTGCGAGTTGTTATGAGGTGAGGGTGACTTTCATGGTGAATATCCTTTGAGTTGTGCATATTAATTGAATCCGATATCATTTTTTTTTATTTTTTAACTATCGGCATATATCTAGTTAATTTAGCCTCTATGATTTTGAAGATTAGGGTATGTTGGGTTGTTCTCTTTACTGAACTCATTGTATAATATCTTGGATTGGACTATTTCTGTTGCTTCTGCTTACTTCTTTGTTAAGTTCATTTGTGCTATACTTAGTTAATATCCAAAATTATAGCTATGCCTTGTTTAAATGTCTTTGATTTGCCTTTAGCATATAATTTTTAAATTGTTTAAATGCTGAAAATGTCTATTCTTTGGAACTCGAATATGTCATAAGAGGTTTGTGGCTTTGGCATATAACTATGGATGTCCCATACGTAGCTTACCTGTCCTACCCTTGTACCATATTAGTGTCAGACTTCTGCCCAGACCTTGTAAAATAGTGATTTGTGCCTCCTCCCCTAAGCTAACCTATGAAAAGTTGTCTGAATCTACATCATAATTATAAGCCCAATCCCTATCCTCCCTAAGATACATCTTCTGGTTGTATCTTAGGGAGGATAAGGTTAATATCACATTTGTGTACCACATTTCTTTGCTCATTTCACATCTACTTTGCTCATTTCATATTTACTTTGCTCATTTCATATTTTCTCTTTTCATTTATATTAACCTTATTATGTATTTATTTATTTATTTATTTTTATTTTTTTTATTTATAGAAATTCCTTATGGAGCTTGCAACAACATCTACAAATCTAGTCTTGGCATACATGGATTTCAGTGAAAAACATGAAACTGCTGTTAAGTATTTTCCAAACAATGAGAAGATTCAAAAGCTGAAGGAAGATGCAATGACTGTTTGTGATGAGCAGAAGATGAGCTCTAAAGCTTTGACTGAAGATATTCCTCTCTCATTTAGCCAAGATGAACAGTATTGGCAAGATCCAGCTGTAATTGAAGCTTGGGATAGGTTTTCAAAGATTTCAGGCAATGACAAGCATGCTGAATCTACAATTAATGCTAGGGTTGATCATCTGATTGAATCGGAACCAATTGATGTTACTAAGATTGCTGCTGAATGTGTTCACATAGCAAGTGGTATACCTGATGTTGAAGCTCCATCTGTTATCATACAACCCAAGGTTGCTGAACATGTGTTTAAAAAACTTGGAGAGTCAAGTATGAGATATAGTTTAAGAAGTTCAGTTGCCAAAGGATGTGGAACTCCTTCATTCAGCTTAGGAATCTCTTCTCAAGAAACTGATTCTCAGGAGAAGTCCCCTGGCATTGCACCTATTGATGAACATGTAGTTGCTCCTGTCAGTGCACATGTTGGTGCTTCTAAATCAGTTGTTGCTGCTGTTACTGATGATGCTGATGTTGTGAATGCTCAAGAAGATCCAATTGCGCTTAAGAGAAAAGGAGATGCTGAAAATGAGAGTTGTATTCCAAAGAAGCGTAAAGTGCAACCATTGTTGCAGATAAGATCTCCTTTTAAGTCTCGGATTATCAACATATATACACCATTAACAGCAGTTCAGAAAGGTGTTATGGATTCATTTTTTCATGAGAAGAAAAATCGTTTGTAAGTATTTATTCAATTTTTTCAATTCTGGAAATTTTGACAACTGACTTTATTTTTCTTTCTTATAACAAGTCTAGCTCTATATTCTCACTTTACATATCTACAATTGAAATTATTTTAACTTCCCTAAATCTTATATGTAGTGATGCAGGGTTTTTATGCGAGGGTGAGCCTGATACTGAAGTAATGCTATTTCAACTTGAAATGCTAAAAACTCAGAGCAAAATTCATGGTGATATCATTAATGCATGGTCTACTGTTCTGAATTTTAATGAGCAATATAGAGATATCAATTCTAGTGGACGTTTCTTTTTCGGTCTTAATGCAGTTGTAAGTTCAACTCGTTCATTTTATTTTGTTTTATTTTGTTCATGTTCACTTTGCTCATTTCATATAATTTTTTTATATTTGAATGTAGATGTTGTTTTGTATTTGCAAAAACTATTATTAGTTCTTTGCTCATTTGTCAAATGAGCAAACTATTCAATTCTCATTTGATAAATATTCTTGCTCATTTGTCAAATGAGCAAAAAATAAATACTGAACTAATTCAAGTCTCTTATTGGATACTAAATAACATAAAATCTTTTGATAAAATATTTGAAATACAGAACTAATTTAAGAAATTTGCCTATTATAGTTATCTTCAAGGCATAATCATGTCATGGTTGTTTGTTTGCACTTTGTAGTGTATTGTCTTGCGTTTGCTCATTTATCAAATGAGCAATTAATTTTTGCTCATTTGTCAAATGAGCAATTAATTTTTGCTCATTTGTCAAATGAGCAATTAATTTTGATAACAATATAAATTCTGACTTCCTTTGTCCAAAAAGTAGCCGATTTAAGAAATTGATCAATGTCCCTAGCAAATAGAAACAAATGATGTGTTATGAACTTCTAATAAAAATTTGGGAAATTCCCATTGATAGCGTTGTATTTTACACTTTTCCCATCGCTAGCATTAAAGTTTTAAAAAATCCCAAAAGTAACTATATACTTTAAGAATTGTCTTAAACATAACGTTAGTTGCTAATTAGCAGTTAAAGGGCCATTAGTTTCTGTTATTTCACTAACCAAGGTTAATTATTGGAGAATAGTTGAACAATCAGGTCTGAATTTTACAATGCAACGTATTTTGGTCTAATTATCCAACACTGATTTTGGTCTGAATCAATGTATAATCAGTGTTTATGAGTTGTATTATGGTCTAATTTTTGTCCTGCACAATTCGGACTCTTATTTATGACCCGTATTATGGTCTGAATCAGTGACGAGCGAGAATTCACAGACATGCTGCATCTATAATTCTATATGTTCTATGTACATCCACCACACTGCCTCACTGGATGAATGTGGAGAGCAGGTTGTAAGTGTTCAGAAAATGAGTCCTAGTTCACTGAGCTATTAGGAATTTCTCAATCAAGATTAGCAAATGAATTTTCGTTGTGTGAATTTTGGAAAGTTAGCAAACTGCTGTATTCAGAACTCATGATATATGCCACAATCACTATATATTAAAGCATGAACTATCATATATCAGATCAATCTTATTCTTTTTAAAATATTAAAAGAACAAGATTAAAGCATAAACTAGCATTAGCATGAACTAACTTTCATATATTAAAGCATGACCTCTAATTACATTCTTAATTCTTTAAGTTTCTGATGCTATCTGACAACTAACATTCTGCATGTTCTGTAATTACATAAATAATTGAATGATAACAACAATTAATTTTTTGCTCATTTGCCAAATGAGCAGTTAATTTTTTGCTCATTTGTCAAATGAGCAAAACATTCACTTGCTCATTTGTAAAAAAAAATTCAATTTACTCATTTTATATGACTTTTCTCATTTCATATTCACTTTGCTCATTTGTTATTTACTCTTTTCATTTATATTCATCTTATTTATGTATTTTTCTTTATGTATTTTTTTTAGGATTGCCTTTTCAATACGAAAGTGATCGTGCTCAAGAAAGGAATAAAATGTTTTGTGAGGTTGTGGAGTTGGAATTCAGCAAAACAATCATCCCAAAGAAAGATATTGAGCTTTTCTTTTTCCCAGTATTTGAAAAGGATCATTATTATTTGGCATGTTTTAACACCACCACAGACTGTGGTACAATTGAGGTTATTGGTTACAGTGAAGGTCCTAGAGAAAATAAGAAAATTGCTTAAAAATCTGGTATGTCTTCTGCCACTTCTTCTTCATCATCAATATCCTCATTGATGCCTGTCATGTTGTTACCAGATCGCACACAGACACACACACACACATACACATACACAGGCACACACACACATGTCTTCTGCCACTTCTTCTTCATCATCAATATCCTCATTGATGCCTGTCATGTTGTTATCAGATCGCACACAGACACACACACACACACACATACATAGGCGCGCGCGCACACACACACACAGGCACACACACACGCACACACATACACACACACATACACATACGTACACACACACACACACACACATAAGCGCATACAACCTGTAATAGAATCTGAAATCAGATTCTGAAATTAGTTTCTGGAATCAGAATTGTGTAATGTGTGGGTAGGTTTGTGTGGGTAGGTGGCAGTAATGGCTCAAGATTTTGTTAGATTATTTTAGAAAATTGATTTGAGTTTAGTTGTTTATCTTGATCTTGTTCTGCTTGTTCTAACTATATTTGTTCCACCTGTTTTTGTTCTTATTTTAACTTATTTGTTCATTTTCAGAAAAGTGCATTTTCATATTTCATGAATGGTGAAGGAAGTATACAAAGTGTTGTTATGTCAAAACAGATCAAGTCTATGGAGTATGTTGTGGTTGATTTACCTTGGAAGTCTTCAGATGATCATCATTTGCATTGCGGTGTTGCAATGATGAGGCATATGGAAACATATATGGGTTTGCAAAAGTGGAATTCAGGTTTAAAGAAAAATAATGTAAGTCTTTCACATTTCATGCTTGTTGTTGCAACTTATAGTCTTTCACATTTAAAGAAAAATAATGTAAGTCTAACCAGAAAAAGTCTAATTGCAATTTTTATAATTTGCTTCTTCTGGAATGAGAAATCTGCACTTTTTAGGTTAAAATTTGTGAGCAGCTTGTTGATATACATTCATGAAGCCATTACTTACCCTATACTTACTCTAAATTATTGCTTCATTTTTTCTCTTTGCAGGACATAATCATTGAAAAACTTCGTTTGAAGTATACCTTCTCAATTATTTCAAGTGAAGTAAATATTGTAAACCTGTTAAACAAGTTGTCCAAAAGAAAAAAAAAAAGTCGAGGAAGCAAGTGATGCTGAAGAAAGCTAGGGGCAGCAATCCAAGAGCAATTAACGGAGAGAATTGAAGACTGAAGTTGATCAATTGTTCTTAGGATTTGTATAGTTTTTGTATAGAACAACAGAAGTGTTGGTTTTATGATGTTCTTAATAGGACAAATGTGATAAATGTTCTTAGTTGATCAAATGTTTTTATGATGTTGTTAGGATTTTCTAAGTATAACTTTTGCTATGTTAATGTAATGGATATCATTTTCTATCTTATTAACTAAGTTGTTGGTCATTTGTTAAATTGCTAATTAACTATTTTCTCATTTGACAAATAAGCAACTAACTATTTGCTCATTTGACAAATGAGCAACTAACTATTTGCTCATTTTTTAAATGAGCAAAAAATTAATTGTTCATTTTCCAAACAGTATATAATTGTTCATTTGCCAAATGACCAAATAAATATTTGCTCATTTGACAAATGAGCAACTAACTATTTGCTCATTTGCTAAATGAGCAAAGAAATGTTTCCTTATTTTTTAAATGAATAACTAATTATTTGCTCATTTAAAAAATGAGCAAACTAATGCTTACTCATTTCACAAATGAGCAAAGAAATGGTTGTTGATTTAATGTATTATTAAAAGGAATGTTTACTCATTTGACAAATGAGCATTAACGATTTGCTCATTTCAACAAAATTAAAAACACAAAATGCTAAATCTTATATTTATATAAAAATATTAACTTTTATATTTGTATAAAAGTATCATTATACAAATATCAGCATATATCTAGTTAATTTAGCCTCTATGATTTTGAAGATTAGGGTATGTTGGGTTGTTCTCTTTACTGAACTCATTGTATAATATCTTGGATTGGACTATTTCTGTTGCCAAGGACATTAGAATAGCTTTGGTATAATTACATGTGTGTATGATAGATAACAAAGCTTGCAAAATATTTGCTCATTTCAACAAAATTTAAAACACAAAATGCTAAATCATATATTTATATAAAAATATTAACTTTTATATTTGTATAAAAGTATCATTATACTTTGTTTGGACAATTTCTAATATCATGCTCAATTCACCACAACCTCTACATAATCTCTTCTTTTTCTAGTTTTGTTCTATAGCCTTTTCTTTTTCTCCCTTCAGCCTTTTTGCACTTCTACCTCATGTTTCAACATTTGGCACATCAATCTCAGCCCCTTTCTCTTTTGAAGTCTCTACATTTGATACATGAATTCCAGTCCCTTTATTCTTTGAAATTTTTGGAGGTTTGACAATTATTTCAGTTGGCACACTAGCTCCAATCAATAGCTCAATGTCTTGTCCTTTGTTGTTTGCACTTCCTGTTGTTTCATTATTCCTTGCAATCCTCTTAGCCTCCAAATCCTTTCTTATTCCTTGAAGATTTATCACAAGATCTTGAATATCTTCATCATTGCCTTCTGCCAAACTTACACAAGTGTGTATCTCTGACCATAAATCATTTAACAATTTTTTCTTGTCAATTAAATTAGCACATTGCTCCAACAAGTTTCCACCCAAGTCAAAAATTGGTTTTTTCAGTGCCATAGTAGTCCATCTGTGTAGCATATACTGCTCAGGAATGGTTTCAAACCTTTTTGCTTTCCAAACCCAAATCATATGTCTACATGGAATTCGTTGTCTATAAAATAGCTTGCAAGAACATGTGGTGTCATAGTTAGTTGGATTAAACACAACATCAAATGTTCTAATCCGATTTCCTTCACTTACTTTTGCAACTTCCAATCCATTTTCTTTCTTCAATTCATCAACACCACAAGAAAAACAAGCAATTTCAACCTCATATTGAAATTCATAAAAGACAGAGTTAGTATATAAATGTGAGGCATGCTTTTCTATCCCTAGTGGTGTTTTGCACTCAGGATATTTGTGCTTTGAATCATTATCATTCTGACCTTGAGTGTGTCTCTGGGCATCAATTGCAGCTTCATATCTCAAGTAAAACTCAACAAGTGACACATGAGGATTGATAAAGGAGCAGGAAAAAGTTATTTTCGCTTTCGGATCTTGATGTTGTACGCATTATTCCTCCAAGGAACACATCTCTGAAATACACCAGAATCCACTTGTTCCTTATCTTGTACATATAACCTAACCACTCATGTTCTTCCAAGTGGTATTCAACCATCACCTTGTTCCACCTTTCTTCAAACTCAGCAGGTTCAATTTCAAGATGCCAAACACAAGCACATAATTTTTTTAGGAAACCAGTTTCTTCTTGCATGATTAATTTCTCCACCTTATCTGGTAACTTTTTCATTATGTGCCACATACAGAAGCGATGTTCGGTCTTGTTAAACACACTTTTAACAGCAATTTTCATTGCTGGATCTTGATTTGTAATCATACAATTCGGTTCATTTCCACCCATTGCCTTGAGAAATGATCTGAACAACCACTTAAATGACACTATATCTTCCTTTGCTATGAAACCAACAGCAAAAGTAATGCAGCTCTTATGATGGTCAACCCCTGTAAATGGAGTAAACACCATGTTGTACCTGTTTACACATACAGATTAAATTTTAAATGATCAAATAACTACACACACACACATAAATACACAGACACACGTACTTAGACACAGACACACACACGCACACACACACATACACATACATACACGCACTCACAATCTGTAATAGAATCTGAAATCAAATTATGAAATCAGAATTGTCATCAGCTACTGAAATAATTCAATGCTCATTTGACAAATGAGCAAATAATTGATTGCTCATTTGTCAAATGAGCTTATAACTCAATGCTAATTTGTGAAATAAGCAAACAGTTGTTTGCTTTTTTGTCAAATGAGCAAATAATTGAATGCTCATTTCTAAAATGAGCAAATAAGTCAATGCTCATTTGTGAAATAAGCAAACAGTTATACTAAGTTCATTTAAAACAAAGTTATTAATTTAAGCTATAGTTATAACATAAAAATGAATTGTGATTTTTATGAATTACCTATTGGTTTGGTTTGTGGTATCAAAGGATACCATATCACCAAATAGAGCGTAACTCTTTTTACATAGTGGGTCAGCCCATAATGCTCTACAAAGGCAATAATCTTCATCCATCTCAAAATCAAAGAAAAAAGCGCTCCACATTAGCTTTTTGTTGGTAAAGTTATCCACGAACATTTGAGCATCACTTCCTTGAATGTATGCTTTCAAATCTCTATGAAATTTTTTGAAATCTTACTTAGATGCACCAATGTTATCATATCCTCCAACAATTTCCTTCATCATTCGAAAAGTTGTAATCGGACCAATATTCACCTATTTAAAGAATAAAACAGTTTGTCAAATGAGCAAATAATTTAATGCTCATTTTTAAAATGAGCAAACAATTCAATTATACTACTTTTATTAGAACATATAGAGAATTCATGAAACATAAGAGACTTTGAAAGTCGTACCTTAGAATTATTCACAATTATTTTTTTGTGCAATATGTTCATTTTTCTTCCTTCTTTTTGGAAGAGATTGCAACTAGGTGTATAAAGTGGATGAGTATGTCCCTCATGAAATTGTGACACTATGAATTTGTTATCATCACAATGCTTTATGACAATATGTGCCTTGCACCCAACACGAGTAACGAGTCTCTTCCTTTTGATTGAAGTTTTTTCTTCATTGCTTTCTCCTTCGTTGCTATTTAAATCTTTTTCAACAGTAGGTTTTCTTTTCTCTTTGTATCCTTCTTTATTGCATAAGATATAATGTGATTTCAATTCTTTGCTTCTTCTTTGCCTTTTAGTTATAGAATTTCTTGTGTTGAATCCAGCAGCAAATGCGTATCTTTTATAAAATTCAAGGCCCTCTTCAAGATTATTAAACTTCATCCCTATAGCTGGTTTCAACTCATTGGGGCATATTGGAAGCCATTCTTTTGTTCCTCCAGGAGTGAGCAAAGGTGCTACTTTAGGAGAAACTACTATTGTAGGAGTAGTTGCCACATTTGTGATGGTACTAGAATGACTGTCAAGTTCTTCGTTGTTGCTCATCATTTCTGACATTAAATATAATAGAAATAACAGGTTAGTAACAATTCCATAAAATAGTTTAAGGAAGCTCATTAAAAATCTCATATGTGTTGCTGAATCATGTTTTTAACCATACTAATTACTACTTACATCATAATCTGACACTTACTCACACACACATACACACACACACACAAAATAATTTCAGAATCTAAAATAGATCTGAAATCAGATTCAGAAATCAGAATTGCAAACAGAAAGATGAGGGGGGAGGGGGGAATAGGTTTGTATAAGGAAGTGTAAGAAGGGAGTGTGGTTGGTGTGCAGGAAACAGACCAAGAAGAAGGGGGGTGGGGCTTGTGTGCAGGCAAGAAAACCAAGGAACTCAATGCTTTGATAGCAGAAACTAGATGATTTGAAAAGGAGTAAAACTTGATAATGCTACCCTTCATTATGATTTGCAAAACCTAGCATATATAGCATTCAGTATAGCATATTTGCCTACAAAAACTATACATTCTTAGACACACACACACACACACACTCTAACACATGCACTCTTACACTCACTTACACACACACACACACACAGTAATTTCAGATTATCACAGCACACAGAAATGCTCAATCTAAGAAGCACAACCACTTGCTCATTTGATAAATGAGCAACTAAATATTTGCTCATCAGCTACAGCTACCTCTTTCACTTTCACTGCTTCTGTAACTCATGTTAATGAGCTGAATCCCATTTCTCACCCTCTATCTTACACTGTACAATCACCACCACCACCAAACTCTCTCTCCTTCCTCCGCCCCTATCCCTGTACCTTACCACCACCAATATCACCACCACAACCTGTCTCACTCTCACTCCCTCGTCGACGCCCCTGTCCCCTGCACCCTACCACCACCACCATTACCAACTTATTTTGCTCATTTGCTCCTTTTTATATTTGCTCATTTTTTTTTTTGGATTTGCTCAATTTAATTATGTTTGCTCATTATATGTTTTTTATATTATTACAAATATTTAGGTTTGCTCATTTTCAATTCTTTTGCTCATTTTAAATTTGATTGCAAATTTCCAATTTCTATCAAATTAATCAAACCTAAATTGTTGATTTAATTCAAAAAATTTCAAAGAAGTAAATTCAATCAAATCCATAATTGATGCAATTAAACAAGTAATTCATTGAGAACAGAACAAACCTCAAAAATAAAAAATTATCATGCAATTAACATGCAATTCAATAACCTGGTGATTGATGCAATTAAATATGCAAATTAATAAGAACAGAACAAACCAAAAAATCAAAAATTATCATCCAATTAGCATGCAATTCAATAACCTGGCGAATTTGATTTGTAGCAGCGATTGCAATCGCGATTAGTAATATAGCGCAAGGCGAGCAAGGTCGGTGTGAACTTGCTTATGATTACTTTGATGAAGCAATTTGAAGCAATGAGAAACAACGTTACTGATTAGGCGCCATTGATGAAGCTCGTGGTGGAGAGAGAAGTTAGTTAGCTAGGTGGAGAGAGATGACAGTTAGCTGTGATTTTAGGAGTTTTATGTGATTAATCACATGCGTTGGATTGAATACAATTTGATGGCTGAGATTGGTTCTCACATATAGGATGTGTTCTCACATAGAAGGTGATTCTCACCGGATCCCGACCCTATATATATATATATATATATATATATATGTATATACATATATACATATATATATACATATATATAATATATATATATATATATATATCTATATATATATATATATATATATATATATATATATATATATATACACTAGATTAAGTCTCGTGCCATGCACGATTTTTATAAAATTTTATGATGAATTATAATGTTAATTAAAATCTACCAAACAATAAAAAAAAAACCACATTTTAAAATGAAATTAAAAAAAAACATTGAATCTTAATTTATTCCCGTGCCAAAGACGTTAAGGTTATTGATGCATGCATAACATTTTATAAATGTTAAATGAAGGATATTGATGTAATATGAACCTTTATACTACTCCTTATAAAAAATGAAAATTTTAGATTAGTACTCGTAGAACAATATACTTATATATATATATATATAGATACACCTTTTATATTGTTGATAGACTTTCACCGGCACAACATTTTATGAAAATTTATTTGATTTTATTTTACTTGATGATGATTAGTAATCAACTTTTTTAAAAATTGTTACCAAGTAGTAGGGTTTTTTTTTGAAAAAAAAAATTATTCTTGGAGAAATTATGTAAAATTTGTATTATATGATTAGTTAAGATTATGTATTGTATTTATAAATTTTTAGTTGAAAACAAAATTGGTTTAAAATTCTTGCACAAACTTTGGACACCGAGAAGAAAATAAACTATTTATATACATTTAGATGTGTTACTAAAATTTGCTCTATAAAAAGATGTGATATGTTACTAAAATAGTACTCTATCATTTTAATTGAAATAAATTTATTGCCAAATAAAAGAATTATAATAAAAAATATTCTTGGATAATAATATAATATAGTATTTTGTATCTTGCGATATGGAAAGAAAAGATATAGGTTATTAAAACAAATTAAAATAAACAAAAATAATCAAAGAATGAAGGAAAGGAATTTTAGGCGGAAATTTTTTTAATGAGGTGAAGACATGTATCTTTTTAATTCGCCTTTAGTGTGTATGTGTGTGTATATATATATATAAGACCACACCCCTTATGTGAGAACACTATTATATGTGAGAACTCATTATAACCATTGGATCAATTACGTCCAACGGTCACAATACAATCCCGGTTTAAACAAAACCATTTTATTTCAAAACAATTTCTGCGTTTTTTCTCTCTCCTCCTTCCTCTTTCACGCGTAATTTCTCTCTCCTCGTTCAATTTCATCCGGTTTTCTACTCTCTTTCTCTCTGAATTTTCATCACAACTTTTTATTGTTTATTTTTTTGCTGTTTTTCAATTAATTTTAGGTTACATTCATTGTTTATCTTCGTTTTGATTTTCGTTTTATTTGTGCTGATTTTATCTCACTAATTTTAGGTTACTTTGTGTCGATTATGTTTTAGTTTGTTTTTTTTGTTGATTTCAGTTTTATTTTCGTTTTTTTGAGTAATTATCAAGTTGATTTTAGTTTTATTTTGCCTGAATTTAGGTTTTAACATGTATTCTTGTTTTGGTTGTGTACTTGCGAAATTATGTTGTGGTTTTGTTGCGATTTTTGCTCGATTTTGTTGCGATTATGTTGCGATTTTTGGTTTGGTTGTGAGTACTGTTAAAGCCAGTATAAAGCTTCCTTCGAACATTCAAGGTAATCCAAACACTTAAACCCCTGTTTTACTTGTGAATTCTGATTCGAAAAATTTGTAACAGAAATTTGATGCTGAAGTTAAGAATTATACTGAGTTGAATGTTAACAAGCCTGATTCTGTTTAAGATGATTGTGTGAAACTTGATATAGATGATATACAAGATGAAATTGATTTATGGAATTTTTTAGTTGTATGCTTTAATGGTGTGGCAAATTGTAACACCGCCATTAGCTGTAATGGATGGTTTCTTAAGAAGAATTTGGAGGAATATGGGGGTAGATAAAGTGGTTGTGAAGGATAAGGGCATTTTCATTGTCAAACACAAAGTATCTCAGAATGGGGATAAGAATAAGGAACAAAACAAGCACAAGGAGACTACATGTGTAGGTGTTTATGTGTTTCCATAATGTGAAGGTGGCTTGATAGGATTGTGCTGATGGACATGTTACCTGATTCAACATTGTAGATTAAGTTAATGTTATACAGACCAAATATAGATTGTACCTTGTGTTGGTTTTTATACAGATTGTACCTTCTGTTGGTTTGAGAAAACAGGGACTGCTATCATGTCCTAGAATCTTGTGATATATTAATAATATTTTCTCACATTTAGTATCCTCTGCTTCTTGTTAGAAATGTGGTGAACCCCCCTTTTCCCCTCTTTATTTCTCTTACAAATGTGCTTTTTAATTTGATTTTTCTTTTGTTTTAGTTAGCTTTCATTTTTTTCGGGTTTTTTGTAACAGTG